CAAGTAAATCTACTAACATGGGACAGCCGGCTTTACTTCCCGAAGGAAGGCGTACGAAGGATTTTGTCGCCCTAAAAATCCACGGCTTCGATCGGGTTTGAACCCGCGAGCTTGGGTATAACAGTCCAATACGCTAACCATCACACCATCGCCGCCATTCTCTTGTCTAATTCATTGAACAAATTTCATTCTCGAACACGACTTGCCTTTTCTGTGCTCTGGGTGAAACTCCTAATCGTGACTGACTATCGTTTTGTTTAACTTAAAGAAATTAATTAATCATGACCAGCTAATGTTCTAATATACTATAGTCCCTCATGTACAGAGTCTATTTTATTCTATTTAGAACTCATAAGTTACAACACATGACATAATAACACCCTTGAATTCTAATTTAAATGAGATACAAAATTCACCGAATTAATATAAATTCCTGCTCCCTAATATCAAAATTATTATTTAACCTAAGTCTGCAATGTTAGTTAGTAAAGTCGTAGTCGGTTTGCTGAAAAAAATCTGATCAATTCTAAATAATTACAGAACCTCGATTTCCAATGCTGTATTGGCGTTAATTCAAAATTATGTTCCGGGGCCATGCTTAGCACAAGAATATCACACTCTGCTCTCAAGCATGGAATACTACACTTGTTGACTAGTTGTCCTGACAATGTGAATTGTTTGGTCTAGAATGTTTTGTATCCATCCAATTCTATAGTAATTATGCATTTGATGCATATTTTCCTGTCTTAAATTCCGTGGGGGGTTCTGGCATGTCATATTGTATTTAATTAATCTATATGTTTGGTGATAACTTGTATTGATCTTTGTAGCTGTTATCTAGAGAATGTTTAAATTCTTTTGTGATGTATTTTTATTTATTTATTTTTTAATTTTATTGTTTTTATTTATTATCAAGTGTCGGTTTTTAATTTAAATTGTTATTAGTCATTAATTTATAGCTTGGGCCTGGATTTTTAGGATTTTAGAAAATTGTTTTGAAAAGTCAGTTAAGCCCATTTTAGGTTTTTATCGTGATCAGAAATAATGTTAGTATCGGACTGAACAATAATTGCAGTAAATGACAAATTTAAATTAATGCCTCATTTTATCACGTGTTTTTACTTCTGAACTAGTACAAAATACTTAAAAAAGCATGAACATGTAAGAATAATTTTCCAACCTTTTACATTTTCTCCTGAAAATTAGCATCCAAAGCAAAATTTCATTTTCTATAAGATGCACTGTTGCAATACACAGTCATATATAATCCTTCAATGGAAATGAAAGTAGTAGTTCGTATTTTGAAGATGCCTGTGCTTTCAGTCTTCAAGGTATATTAATACCTCGAAGACTGAAAGCAGAGGCATCATTCTCTCTCTATTTTTTCTCTCTCAGATTTCCATTTGTGCCTTTCATCTTTGCATAACCAAGATTACATTAAATTTTCGAGATCTTTGATGAGAACACATCACCTTCAGTCCCTGGTACTTCCTTCCATTAAACAGTTTAAATTATGTTTATCACTTCATTTAGAAGACTAATAAAAAAGACTTCTAATTTATAGCAGGAACTAATTTAATTAATGGCCACCATAAAATTCCAACGAATTGAAATGAAATTAGTTTTCTTAAGGCAACTTCCATTATTGTTTTTAGAAATTCTGAATTAGCCTGGTTTAGGATCACAACCTATTTTTGCCTTTTGAAGGATAAATAGGATTCGTGAATTGGCCTCAGAAATGATTTAACTGAGTATGTGTATTATAATGATGTGAGGAATAGGATAGGTGGGGAGAGGTGAGGAATAAAATAGGTTAGGACATAAAAATCTGGGCCCTATTTATAATTTTTGGAATATGTAATTTTTATCAGTTCAAAGCTTTTGTATCCACTAAATGGGCATAACCTATAATTGATTATTACATTCAGAGCATATTGGTGTTATCGCCTCCTGCAGAGTATATAAATATCTGAAGTAAAACAAAAAATACAACAAAAATTATAAAATGAGGAAACGGAAAAGGAAGTAGAGATCTGAAAATCGGTCAATCTTTGTTTTTCTTGGTCCCAAACAATTCACACTGAATTGGTTCAAAACTTGTGTTTTACTTTCTTGTATGAATACATATATATGGTGTAATATACATAGTATAGAGAAAGTTACGTAATGCTAAAGTTATGTTAAGTTATGGAAAATCGATTTTGAAATTTCAACGGACATGCATGTTCGTTGGTCTGTCCATCTGTGAACACCACTAGCACCCTAAACTATAAGTAAGATCTTTTCAAAGATGAATATTTCCTGATCAATCTGGCTTGACTTGAGGCGCAGCAATTTCGAGAAACTGTCTTCCAAATTTGGGTGTACTTTACAGAAGCATCACGGGCATTTTCAAACTTTTCTCAAAAACTGCTCAAAATTTTTTTTCTTTCAATTTCCTGTAAAAATAGAGTAAAATACACTTATAAAGGTGGCATATCTCTGAAACTTTTAGTAGTTTTCAAGCAATATTGCATGCAATATTTGCAATTTTAAAAAATTCCAAAAACAAAATTTTCTCAAACATGGCTCCAAAGTTTTTCTTTAAACTTTTGATGAGGATAGTGCTAAATGCACTCTGTAAGATGACATAAACACCTAATTGCTTTATTCTTTTGTTTTTATTTTTTCAAAAATTACAATAATGATTTTTTTAGTTGTTTCTCATGTCGTTAATATTTACATTAGTGGCAAATCGTTCACATTATTGTATTTATGAATACGTGTGCTTTAAATAGTCGCATAAAGTTTCTCTAAAACTCAAGAGTTTTCTGTTAAAATGAACTCAAAATTCCGCACTTTCGAAAAGCTCAAATGCCATTTCCCCAAAAATTGTTGAAAATGACATAAAGTTAATTTTGACTATTCTTTTGTCTTTAAAAAATTACACAAATGTTTTTTGTAAATATCTATCATGCCGTTCATATTCACATTTCCAACAATTAGTAAACACTATTACTAGGAAGTTAAAATGCCTCAAATGAATGAAATTTTTTGAAATCTCAGAAATTTTCTGTGAGAAAGAGCTTCAAATTTCGCATTTACATTAATGCTTGAAGGCAATTTCCTTGAAACGGCTCCAAATTTTGCAATGAAGATGGTCATTTATGATGACTCTTCTTTAATATTCTTAAAATAATATTTCAGTTCTACTATTAGGAAATTGCAAAATTAAGAAAATGTCAGAAAAAATGTATTTGGACGGCGATAAATGGCAACTGACAAGAGGATGGGGCAAGACCGTAAAGCCAGTCCACAACAAGAGATTTAGAAAACTTAACTATTAGAAAGTCTGTACCATTCCATAGTACCACTTATTTACATTCTTATTCACAGTAGTCAATAACAATTAAATTGCCTTGTATCATGTATATTTTATCCCAGTACATCACGAAAATAGTCAAATGGAAATAGTCAAATTGTCAAATACTTGCAATTCTTTTTTGGGAAATATTGCAATACTAGATGATTTTTAAAAAGAATATAAATAAAAGTTACAATATAAAATAATACTCTTATTCATGTTTCCATTGCTAATTATACAATACCAAATAATGCATTAATATGTACTTGGCTGTCCGGGAGATGCTGCGTCCAAGGTACCTTGGATGCAGAGTCTCCTGGACAGCCGAATACATTCTGGCTCTGGCCACGGAAGCCTACGCTCTCAAATAATGCATTCATCCTTCATTGTTATTACATTTATTTTATTGTGAACAGTTTTCAAATATACACACAGTTATACATTTATTCAATATAGCCTTAAACACCAGGAATATTTTTAAAACGACTATGATCAATCGCCTGTGCAAAAAAGGCAAAGAAAATTATAATTGAAAATTATCATTAAATTTCTTTTGTCATGGTTTTAAAACATTCTTATTTCTTATTCAAATTCTGTCAGCCTTCATGCTGCACATTCTGTACAATTTGCAAATGTCTATTTCCGTCTGGCATAATATTCTGGCAGGTATGGCATAATATTCTGAGGAGAAACATCCTACAATTCTTATAAATGACAAAAATAAAAATTGTATGAATAATAAGCAAATACTATCCACACCATTCCTGTAAGCTTCTCTTTATTGGGATTAGAATCTTACCATTGTCTTCCATCTTCATATATGAATACATGGATTTTCTCAAAACTGATTTACTCAAGGGTGGAACATATTTTTACATGTAAAATATCTACAATGGTAACAACAAATAGGAATTATTTTAATCATGTGTCTGTGCCAATAGCTCATTATTAAAAATCTGCAAGTACATGTACGCTATTTTAACACTTTTCTAGAGGACGTGTCACACTTAAAAATTATATGCAAGTTTAAATGGCAGGTGAAATCTTCTCTACTGAATAACTGTATTCAATTGGAGACTATTCTGGGAATCGAAAACAAAAAGATTTATTTTAAAAATGACATTAATGCATTAGTTACCATATGTATTGTGTAATTCTAAAAGATTTGCTTGTAACATGTATTGTACTTCTGCTTTTGGGTCAATGATCCTTATCATAATTGAATTTTTCATCCATTTTTTTCATGATCTTCTGAGCAAATGCTCAGATGTCCCTTGTTTTGTTTCTGGACATGTTTGAATGCATGAATCTTCACTATCTGTGCATGTTTGCATGAGCTGGTGGGTTAGTGAGGAGTTTGTTTTTGTCAGTAGTCGCATCAAATAAAATTTGTTTCTCAATTGCTTATACAAATAGGTACACTAATACAAATATCAAATATTTCATGTTATCAAGGGTTTGCCAAAAATACTGGTTTATACTTTTATTCACAATTCAACTAAATTTATGAAAAGAGAGGGGTTAGGGATTCTAGAGCCCAAGAAAACATGCACTGATTGTACTTCTCTCTTGTGTAACTCATAGTTGTTGTTTTTTTTTTACCTTATAAGTAAATACAAATTATAATCTTTATACTAACTTGTAATTGTGTCTGCAGGAGGAACAATAGCACTAGAGCATAATGGAGAGATGTCATCTTCACCTGCCCATATGGGTGAAACTCAAGAATTGCCATCTTCTCCCTTGCATTTTGGACTTCCTGGGTCTCCTCCTTTACTTCCCCCGGGTGGGCAACCTCTTCCTCCAGGGCCATTTCCCAGTTTGCCTCTTTTTTTGCCTCCTGGTGCTCCAGGAATGCCATTTCCCATGCCCCCTCCTCCTGGAGGCCTCTTTCCCGATGATCTTCGCCCTCCTCCACTTGGAAGAATGTCTTCCCCTCCTCCTGAACCACGTGGTAGTTTCTCACCTTTTGAACACTCGCCTCCTATGTCTCCTCCTAACCGCCCATATAGATCACCACCACATTATGAAGATTCGCCAAGTAGATATCGCCATCAGACCCCACCTACAAGCAGCACTCCATCATATACTGGTCCTTTTTCACCTGGAAAGTGGGATGAACGTGGTGATCCCCCAAGGTCCAGCTTCAGACCTCTGCACAGGGATCCTCCGCGTGAACCGAAAGGTTTGCAAGCAATTTATACTAAGTGCATGATGCATGCTATACATGTACAATTTTTGTTTTGTGCTTATGCTGCTCAAAGGAAGGAAGACCTTCTCAAAAGTTCGCCAGTTCTGGAGCACAATGGAATCTGGAACATACTGATGTTCCTGAGCACTGTAAATCTGTATGTTTTCTATTGTTTATCTGTTTATGCTAGTATCAGATTATAAAAGGGTGAATCATATTATAATCTCAAATTCTTTGTGGTGAATTGACAGTTTATTATCAGCAGTTTACTAAATCTTAATTGAAATCCGATAATACACTTACGTAACATATCTGACCTTTTTTTTTTTGAGATTTTCAGAACGAGAACTTTTTTCGAGAACGAGATTTTCAATGGAAAAGTTACTCAAAACAGAGTAAAGGCAACCCATAAAAATAAATATTCACATTTGGAAATAAAGGAGGCTATTGAAATAAAAGAATTATATAATAAAAAAAATAATTTAAAATTCTAAAGCTATTTACTTACGTCTAAAATATTCAAAAATAATTTTATACCTAGGTTTAAGAAAACAATTACTGCAAAATTTTTCAAATTTTGATGTTACTGAAGGTGTATAACACACAAAGGTTTGAGATCATGAATTCTTACCCTGGTATGATTTGAAGTGAGCCACCCCCCAAAAAATGTATGATTTCATTCCAAACTAGTGTGTTGGTAATGTTGCTAGTGAGAAATAAATATTTCTTTATTTTAACGAAATGTGCCTTAATTTCATTCATTGGATTTCCAATAAAATGTAAATTTATACTAATTTTAAGTCACTTATTCTATTCGTGATTGATATTGAAGGTGTGTCGCTACATCTGTACTTTGGTGCACAATACTATATCCAGGGCTAGATTTCTGGCGGAATGTGAAGGAACATCTATACCTTCATGTACCTCTAAAATAATTATTTAATTATATTATGAGTATTTAACTAATTCTATTAAATTAATAATCAATTTGGGTAAGTTCCAGGACCTTAAATTTTATAAATCAAGCTCTGACTGTATCAGTAGTTTGTTAATTTCATTGTTTCTGCAAGTGGCATTTAAGAAGTCTAAAAGTAAATTTATTAACCATCAAGAAATTAATTCAGATTTAATTGATTTATTAAAAACTAATGTTTTTTATTACAAACTAAAATTTATATTGAAATTCATATAATAATTAGAAAAAATATTTGTTTATTCACGTATCATCAAAAGATTGTGAGACATTAATTACCTAAATTATGCACAAAACTTAAATTATTTACAACTTTTGTTGTAATGCAGATTTTGTGTAAATAAATGTGAGTTTTTGTTTGTTTGTGGCAACATTAGAGTCTGGTTTTGTTTGAAGTCTAAATACTTATTTTTTGGAGTGGCCCGCGTCATGCGTTTTTACGCACCAAATAAATAAATAAAGATTTGGAATGATATTGGCAGTTCCTTTATCAGATGTGTTCATGTGGGAAACCATCTATTACGTATAAGGCACTTATGTAAAACTTTTCAAAATTCAAAGTGAGAGGTGTCATAACACTAATTCCATCATTCTAACAATTGTATTATTAGTAATTTATACCAGTGACGCTGTATGTACTTTGAGAATCACTTTCTCTACTGTCAAAGTTTGTAGTGGGCAGTACAGGTACTTTTGTACTAGCAAATATCAATTTTAACTATTCATTTCCAAATTTTGCTTCATGACTTGTTATTTCTACTTTTAAATTTTTGAGATGTCCACTTCATTAATCTTTGTTAAAACATTGCTGTTGAGTTATTATTACAAGTATGTTACTTAATGTTTGCATTTGTTTGCCACAGGATCCACACTCAGTTCTGGTCATTCTTCAGAGAGTTTGGATAAAGGAAGTCGGCATAGTAGAGTATAGCAGTAACCTTATTAAAATGAAGAAAACTTCTTTGTTGAATGAAATTGTTTTTGAAAGTTGTATATAGTGAGTATTTTAGTTGTATTATACAATTGTACGAATAATGTTTGAGAATATAATATATTACACTTTCATCTGCAACATAAAATTATTGTTGTACCATATGAAGGCATATACGCAGATGGTTCTTTATCCTGAACCATATTACCCTATCCCTCAGTATTATTTGTGACCAACAAATACTTAATAGTCTTATTTTACAGGGGATATGGCTTGTATATAAAACATGGTGAAGATGGTGAAAATTACATTATGGAACAGACATTACATAGAAATACTTCATGTGATAATTGTCATTATTAGGGAGCTACAAAAAATTGAATAATGGTCACATATTTTTCTTGACAGGAGCTACTGATGAAACATGAAAACCAAAAAGTTGAATACAAAGAGAATTCAATGAGAAAGTTTATGTGAAACTTCATTAATTATAAAATCCAATGAATGTTTAATTGTACTGACTTTCATTCAAGTATAATAATGATTTTTAAGTATAGCTATTCCAGTGGAAACTTAAATGCCATGGCCTTTTTCCTTGACAAAGCAAAATCATTTCCAAATGGTACAGATTTTATAGTTTTGCTGGAAAGTCGAAATAAATCATTAAGCATGTAACAGTCACTGGCAAACACCTTACATGACTGAAAAAACTACTTATATTGCATATTTCATCAGTGGTTAGGGGTGCTGTGAAGGCAAGTGCAATTTATTTTTGTCTTGAAGACTTGATGTACATTCTAATGCTGGAGGCTATTATTATTTTTATATCTTGATTTAAATGTGATCTAACTGAACATTCCATCCTATTTGTACTTGTGATATGTAATTATTGTTATATGGAAAAAACTTGTCCCTTCATGTTTTAACATTTTTATTTTTCTGTCCTTTTTTCTAAAACCTCCACTTTGTTCTTTATATTCTACTTTTAAGACTGTTCTCCACCACATGTAACAAACTTACCACTTGAAACATTATGTAGTGTTTCAGTTTTTTCTTTATAGTACTCAAAGCATGTGAATATTCAGCAATGTTGTTATTTTCTTTTATGATCGCCTGAAATGAAACATTGGTAATTAACTATAGCTATAAATTGCGAGAAAAGGCACTTGCGTGTTTTTGAAGATGTTAGCTTTTCACTACAATGTAAAGTGAATAACATTATTTTACGTATATATTTAACCATCCCAGAGAATTTATTAGAATTGTTTCATTAAGAATAATAGCCTCTAGCATTAAAATCGTCATTGTAAATTATATTTGCATATGAAATGTGACTACATTCTTCTTCAACCTTCTGTAAGTTGTTCTCTTTTTGCCCAAAAGTTTTCCAAAGTTCATATAGGAGTTAATTTAACAAGTAACTTTCCTGAGTTTTGGAATATTGAAATATATCTAAGCAGCACATTACTGAAATTTTATTTTTTTAAATTAATGACAAGTATGGTAATGGAAAACGATTCTTAAAAAATTCTGCAGTTCATATTGTTAAATATTTGATAATTATGAGCATTGAATGACTTATTTTAAATAACATTGTTCTTGTAGGTTATTTAATCTATTTTAGGGTTACGTTTTCTATTTGTTTTATAATCTTTTTCATTTTGCAAATATATATTTCAAAACTTGTATACTTTATCATAAATCTGTTGCTCCCATGACCAGTTTCAGGTTTCACTGAATTGATTTAGTCATTTAATTTGTTTTAATTTAATTTTTGCTAGAATTCTGATGGCGTTAGCTTAAGGAAAGATAAATATATATTTCAGAGTTTTATTAGTTGGTGTTTTCATTATATGAAAATATAATGAAGTGTGTTTATATAATGTTTATTGTACTCTGAGAATTGTTTGCTTGATTTTATTGGTATGGTTCTGTAACAATGCAAAATTGAAGAATTACATGTCTAAAAAATGGAAAGAATGAAGAATGGAAATTTCAGTTGACTTGTTGTTTACTTTGTGAAGTAAGGTTGTAAATAAAAGATTATGTATATAGGTGTTAGAGTCTGACTGGAGCATGTGTGTGTGTGTGTGAACATTAAATTGATTGAAAGAAAAGAAAACTAGTAAGTTATTTCAGGTTAAAAACTATTTTAATACATATTGGAAATTAGAATAATCTCCAATGTCAGCAAGATTACTGTGAAAATGTGTATGAAATTATCAAATATATTACCATTGTACAAAACCAGAAAGAGATATGCTTTCTTAGTACATAACGTTTTTTTGCTCATGACATATCTACATTGGTCATATCAATTCTACATAGTACACTCTCAGTTCCCAACAATAGTAAGTAACAAAAGGAAATTGTTAGGCCTTCTGCAGAACAAACTGAACATATTGCTCTTGAAACGCTCCATTTCAATATATATTGATTGTCAGGTAACACAGATACTGTAAATATTAAACAAGAATGACAAACAGCATAACCAAATAATGAACCATACAATAAATGTGAAAATTTCCAAGGTTAATCATGATCAGATGGTAGAAAAAGGACTCGGACATTGAGATGGGAATAAAACCCACTTGCAGTTTTAATTGTTCATGTGACTCTGGATGAAATTGTTTCCATTATTGTGGAGGTTTTTGTCTTCCCTTAAAAGCTCTGTGTCACTAATCTTCACATTGCCATTTTGGCCACTGTTGTAGATTTAATAAATATTCCCTTAACCACCATTGCCAGAAGTGCTGTATGAGCCATTGAATAAGTTGGAAACTAATCAATCACTAAATAAACTAACACCACTCTCCTGACAGCTTGGAGTTCCCAGTAACTACTCGCTAATTAGAATATGCCCTGGAGTTAACTCCTTCGAGTCTCTTCATTTCTTAGACAGGAGTGGGAGGTATGGGTTGCCTAAATTCCTGAATGAACTTGGGCAGGTTTCTTCAATTTTTGAGAAAATAGTGTTTTACACTTTGCATCGCAGGGTCCCACAGTGAGGTGCATATCGGCGGTTTAAATGCCACCTTGTGATAGATATTTGGATAAGTAGAGGTCTCTTCATTGCCTCCTCTGGGTGCACTAGCTTCCACAGATCACAATTGGCACCAAGTAAATTAGTGTTGCAGTCACTGAACATGTCACTTCATAAGCCTTGACAAGTTACAAAGTGTGTCTTAACAGCCAGGAATGAAGACTAATGTTTTTCACAACCACACCTGTGGGGTGTGGTATCTCACTCCAATTTTTTATCTTCCTCAGAAAAGTCTCATGAGGGAAGGTCCACCACACTCCTTGAAGCTTGGAAGAGAAAAAAATATTCACATCCAGTGATGTCTGTGGGAAGCAAAGTGTAGCTTGTGAAGTTTTAAAGACAATAAATTGAGAAGACAAGACAAAACTGATGAGACAAGACTGAATGTAATATCCAGGAAAGAGTTGTGTTCTTTGGTAAAGTTATGTATGGGGCTGAAGAGGTGTGAATTCTGAATGAAGAAACACTTAGAAATGTTAATTGTTGGATATAAAGGCGCTTGATGATGCATTAAAAAATGCATCTGAACAGCAAAAATACTGCTGAATTCAGCAAAAATGCTGCTGAACAAAACATTACAAAATATTTTTCCAAAATGGAGCATGCACACTGCTTAAGAACAACAAATAAAATACTTCTGTATAAAACCACATTGAATTAAATATTATAGCAAAAACAAGTTTTCTCAAATACTCTAATAACATGCACAGTATGTAAACAGGTCAATAGTTCTTTACGTACCAAGAATATAAAACACTGCCTTGCTCACACATTCAGCTGTGATGTAATTAGTGACTACCTGAGTGTGAAATGTGGCCAGTATGTGCATTATTAGAATAGATGGAATAACAATCAAATATTTGCAATTTTTAGTTACAATAGAAACAGTTTCATTTTTTCCAAGTTCGTGGGTGTCTAATGAAACCAAAGACACCTCTCACACGCCTGAAGGCTGCATTGTTTTCTTTCTATTTCTGCACATATAAGAAATTAGTAATGTAGATTAGTGATACCAGATGAGTGACTAGTCACTAATTTTTCTGTGCTAAAGAAAAGAAGATTGAAGAATTACAACTATAGATATTTGACTGCTTAACTCATGCTCTAAGGTGTATGCGAAAATGGTGGATAACAGAACAGCTACAATTGCAGAATCGTTGCATTCAATCAACTCTACCACAGGAGCAACAATAATTAGAAATGGTCATTCAATAATAATGACGTTACGTGAAATAGGTGCAGTTTAAGAGACACACGTAACCTTCGTGGACCTTGAGAAGAAATTTTAAAATGTTATGATGTATAAATTATGGAATAATTTTATCCCCTTTGCACTTAAACGTGTATATATCTTTATTTCTTATACAAGTTTAAAGGATCCCAGTTTTTTTGTTTAATACAAGTGGGTAGACTTGTCTAATCAAGAACTTTCATCCATTTTTGTACGAGTATGTGAGAGGAAAGTAAGCTATTTTTTGTAACAACACTGGACACTTGCCATTTTAAAGAAAGGTGAATTGATATATGAATTAATATAATTTAGTGACTTAGCAGAAATTCTCTACAACAATCCCAGAACAACTCCAACACGTCATAAATGAGTTGACAAATCAATCATCATCAACATCGTCTTTCTCAGAACTAAAAGAACTGTTTACCATGCCAAATGGATGCAACATCCAAAAAATCATCAGCACTATCAAAGACCTTATCACCATCATCAAAGGACCTGCTGACACAATGACAAAAATTATGACCGTCTGACCAAAATTTGTGACATATTTTAACAATGGCGACTAAACTAAGACTGACTAATATAACGTCGTGGAACGCCAATGGAGAACTAACCCGGAAGAAGGCGGATATCGGACAATACATCAAAGACTACTCCATCGGGATATTACTGATACAAGAGACAAAATTGACATCCTCACAAATATTTTCTATCCCTGACTTCCTCGCCTACCGGACTAGCACATACATACTGGGAGGAGGAACCGCCACTGCATTCGCAAAATCATCCTGTATACCCAACTCTCTCCCACGCCCAAATCCCACATAGGAAACACCCGTATCGAACTGTCAACCCCTCACAGCCCCAAAACAATATCTCCTCCTACAAGGCCCCAAACGCTCCTTTTCTCCACTCTGGCCATGACGCTCTACTGACAGACAAAACTACTTGCCGGAGTCTTAAATTAAAAAAACACAGCCTGGGGATTTAGACGGACTATATTGGACGAGATCTACGAAATTATATACAAACCATAAAATGACTTAAGCCGTTCCTTCAGAACCTACCCACTTATTAAATGACCTTCCCCATGATATCCTTGACATACACTATGTGATGAAAAGTATCCGGACACGTCCGAAACTGTGTTATGGTGTGGTCGTATTTTTCATGGACTGGGCTTGCATCCCTTGCTTTGTGAGGCACTATCACGGCACAGGACTATGTTCATGTTTTAAACACCTTCTTGCTTCCCACTGTTGAAAAGTAATTCACGATCGAGAAGCTATTCATACTGCACTGCCTGTGGCGGAGTGGTTACACGACAATAACATCCCTGTAATAGACTGGCCTGAACAGAGTCCTGGCTTCAATCCTATTCAATTGAGATATTTTGGAACGCCGACTTCGTGCCAGGCCTCATCGACCTACATCGATACCTTTCCTCAGTGCAGTACTCGAAGAATGGGCTGCCATTCCTCAAGATACCTTCCAGCACCTGATTGAAAGTATGCCTGCGAGAGTGGAAACTGTCAAGGCCAACACCCTATTGAATTCCAACATTACCGATGGAGGGCGCCACGAACTGTAAGTCATAGCTGCCACGTGTCCGGATACTTTTGACACATCTACTCTAATTCCATAGCCCTACCCGCTCCATATCCAAATTACTAACTAGAATCCGACCACCTTCCTGTCATCTTCAACATCAACCCCCTATCCTATGACCCTTTATCCCGTGAAATAACCATACACTGGAAACATTACAAACTCTTTATATCCAAGAAAATTGAATCTCCACCTACCTTAGAAACCTTATCCAGACAAGCAACAAGAACTCTTCAATCTTCATGTTAAGAGATCCCTATACAAATACACTACCACAGTTCCGGCATCCAAAATCCAATTCCCCTCCCATATCCTCTCCCTAATACGTAACAAACGACGAACGCTCAAACAGTTTTACAGGACTTGCAGACAACAAGACAGAACTCTGTGTTTACAACTATGTGTGCCATGGCTAAGCATCCCCACAAAATTTGGAAACTGTGAGACGTGACAAAAACAAATATCTCACCCACCAACCTTCGGAACGGCAATAGGACTTATGATCCCCATACTATACCAAAGACGTCGAAATCAAAGACCAACTTCACGCACTGGACGAGACAAAAGCGACTGCTAATGCACGTAATCGTAGACTAGCACGCTACGTAATCGTGGACTAGCGAAAAACGCCATACATTTGACACATCTTTAACAACTGCATCCGACTACAGTACTACCCTGACATGGAAATACGCGGTAGTCAAGATGATACTGAAGCCCCATAAAAGCAATAGAGACCCAAATAATTACAGACTGATCAGTCTCATCCCATCGCCAGAAAAGATTTTGACAAAATCATCCTTCATCGACTGAATCCTATCATTGACAATCACGACCGACTCAATACGGCTTCCGGAAGAACCAATCATCAGCAGTTCAGACGCGACGCAACGACTCGCCAGTGACATACGAACTCGACTACGTATTTTACGATCAGTTTCTGCACTACTTATCGACTTCACCACTGCCTTTGACACACATCTACGTAGCTACCTATCGAAAAGATTCTACCAAGTTAAACAACTTTCCCATTTGTCGTCCCATCCAAGCCGGCATTCCTTACGGCGCCGTGCTTTCCCCCACCCTGTTCTCCCTAAACATCAACGAGATACCCACAGTAAGAAACGTAAACAACTACTTATACGCAGACGACGTCGCTTTTAGCGCAACCAACAACTATCACTAAACTAGAACGTAACTGACACAATGGGACATGGATAACCGACTAAAAATCAACCCGACAAAATGCAATGCAATAATTTTCTCCGCTTTACAAACAAATCACGTCTCCCCCATTACCATTAACAACATCCCCATCTTATGGACACAGTCAGTGATCTACTTAGGACTGACATTCGACCGACGCAGACCATGTATAAGATATTACCAAAAAAAGCTCATCGAGCAATCAGTGC